AGGGTCGGACAAAAACAGGCCAAGAAGAAAAGACGCATGTTAACTGCAAAAATAAAAATCAGGAATCCAATCCATCAGCCACCATTTTCCAGAACGGCAACCTGCCTGGAGTCTCCAGAGTGCAATGTGTCAGGTTCTCAGAGGCTTTGCTATGACATCATGAAATATGACCCCACTTAATAAGAATCATAGATTGAACAAGACAGATCGAACTGAACCTCTCGATTGAACTGGTGCTGGTCCCTTAGTTAAGAGTCACTCTCCACCTGTCTGTCCTTCAGACAGATAGGTTGTCTATAAACAGTCTTCATGTATTTCACAAAACATCAGAATGTTATTCTTATTAAGTGAGGGTCTTTTTTTTTTTTTAGGATTTTTTACCCAAGCAAAGTCTCTCAGAACCTGACACATTGCTCTCTGGAGACTCCAGGTAGGTTGCAGTTCTGGAAAATGGTGGCGTTGGAGACTAAAGGGTTCCTGATGGTTTCACACCTAATTCTTCACCTTAATTCTTAATTCTTTTGCAGTTAACGTGTCTTTTCTTCTCCACCTGTTTTTTTCTGACCGTGCTGACCCACTGAGCATTTTGCTGTCTAATGGTCATGCCTTAACTTTGCAATTTCTAGTATTGCATTAGTATTGCATCCTTCTCATGAGCATTTAATCATTTTTCTTTACTGTTTTTTTTCTTTTGCAAGTTAAATCTCTTTTTTGGCCCATTTTACCTGTAAAAGAAAATCTGCTTAATTATGCACACCTGAATATAAGGTGTTTTTCATTTCTAGCTTTCCTTAAAAAGTATATATTCCTTATAAATGATTAAATACAAACATAATAGGCCTAGTAGTTATTAAGATTGATGTGGTTTGGAATTGGTAGAATGTGCTTGTGGAAAAATATGATCAGAAATAGGGCTGCACGATAAATCGCATGCGATATTTAACGCGCATCTTGTCAGAAAGCCGGTTCTGTAATCAGCGGTAAATCTCCATCACCTGCGTGCTTTCACATTGAGCAGCATTAACTACACAGAGCCGTTGTTCACTGACGAGCTGCGCAAAACATGCGCAACATATGTTCGGCATAATAATTATGCACGTACTGTTTATAACTGTATAAATGTGTATGCATGTTAAATATTGTAAACAGTGTAACCACACAATTGTTATTTATTTATTATTTAGCAAGCAGATTAGTCCAGTAGTTTAACACACTTGTGTCAGGACAAAATTGAATCCATAAGTACAAATAAGATGGAAGTGTGTATATATTTTAAATGTTGTAAACTACACAATTATCTGTTTACACATTGGTATATTATTATTTGTGTACTCAGTTATTAAACAGACGACAAGTATTCCAATATACTTGTGTTAGAAGACAATCAGATGTGTGCATCTTCAAATTAGATGTATGTATGGAAATGTGTACTCTTGATAAATCATCTTCTGATGTTTTTAAATCTTTCCATGGCTTTACATGTCTGGCTTATATACAAATATTTTGACATGGCACTTAAATTTGCATGTTGGTACAGTGTGTTGGAACACTCATAAATCTAAAGAAACAAATACATTTCATAAAATGGTCATATGTTTTTTTTTATCTTATTAATGACATTCTGCAAGAAGGTCTTTTAATATTTTCAGGGAAGTTTAAACGAATGTTAAATATGCTTGTTATTCGTTCATTCACTGTTCATGTTTAAGCATGCATCTGATATTGCGGCTGTATTTTCATAGGAGGTGGTCTTATCTGAAAAAGGATATTGCACGTTTACATTCATAGGTCAGATTTGTCAAAGCTGAGTTTTATCATGTTATTTGTTGTAATAACTGACAACACGTTTGCCAAATTTGATTATTGTTTCATTTTCAGAAACCATTAGATTAATTATGATTATTTTATTGAGCCCTATTTTTTTAAGAGTAAGAACTAACTAAATCTGCAGTTAATAGCTACTGTTGAAAAACAATGGGTTATTTTGTAATGGTTCTTCTGCAAATGCTGTGGTAAACCATTCATTTTGCAATTACTATGGTGTTTCTACAAAAACCCTGGTTAATCTTTGTAAGGGATATGATAGCAACAACATGCCAGACTGCTCCCCGTGCTGTCTCGCTTGCTTCTGTCCCGCGCCCGCCCGCTAAAGCCCGCATTAAACTCATCTAGAGATGTTTGTTTCAGCACATCAAAGACATTTACATGAAAGGGTTCTGTAACATCTCCTAAGCTCCACGACATCCCAGCATAAACACTCCTGATAAAATATGTGTTGTTTAGGCTAAGCATCAACATTCACAAACCACTGCTATTTTAATAGAAAAGCAAGCATGGGCGCTTCCTTTATTATCACTAAAAGCTGACATCTCAGTTCATCGTGATCTCATAAAGCTCTGTTATAACACAATGAGCATGCACAACGAATCTTTCACGATGTCTACACTTCGTGTGTTGAAATGAGAGGATTCGTGAGCACGCAGTTTCAGCACTGCGGTGAGTGGGTTCTAGCTTAATCACCTCTGATTGGCCATTGCGTTCCAGAAATCAAGAGCTCAGTCTGTGATTGGCTACATTGCAACCCTTTAAACACGTGTTATAAATAGAAACTCTGCCTAGCTTGCGCATGTTAATCATTTTAATGTTATTAGTTGTTCTTTTTGCTTTTGTGCAACACATAAATAACAAATTATATGTGTTAGACATTCTATGTTTAGATCAGCTCTGTTTTGCGGGAGTCCCGCGAATCATTGTAGCATGTCTCCGCCGCACACTGTTGTGCTGTGCTGCATCTGTTACAGATGACCTGTCCTGATCTGATCTGTGATACACTGTATTTTGCGCCAGTAAGGCTTAGAAATAACGGCGAAGAAAAAAAAATCTATTTCCACATAGACTAATCTATTTATATGAATATAATGTGTATTTCATAATGATTGTATGACATAATAGGCTATAACATAACTGTGTAATAAACGTATTGGCTTGAAATGAACGGGGCTATCGGATGTGTGTAAATCAAGTCTTTGCTCATAATAGGCAGGAGGGGCAATATCATTGGTCTAAAACTGTAAAGTGGCTGAGTTTAACAGGATCCTGAAGCAGTCAGGCCGAGCGAGGCGTGGGGCGTCACCAGTGGGGACACAAGCTGGACACGCGCCGGGAGTCCTCCACACACGCTCCGAGGCCTCGCGCAGAACACAGCTCTACCAGTATGTGCTTCTCATAACTTGTGTGATGCTGTCATATACATGTCGCCATATTTGATGTGGTTTTTGTGTGTGTGTTTGGTATACTGAACTCGAGTTTACTGCGAAGTGTTTACTCGAGGAGTCGGGAACAATTTATGAATCGCGTTTATCATAAAATGTATTAATTATATATGTCATATATGTTTTTATTAAATACATTTCTGCAAAACCGAATTAGAATGTATTACGACATCGGAGTCAACTGTTATTTCACCTTCTGCACTACACTAGTAATGAGAGTAGATGAAGCTTCTGTTAGCAGACAGTTATTATTGATGTAATATTTGCGTAGTACAATGAAGAATAGACAGTAAATGAAGTTGTAGAGAGAGGACGACGGACGGAATCGCCCACAGCTCAAATGCATGCCACATTCCAGCTATTTGTAACTACACAAAAAGGCTCGTTTTACTTTTTAATATTGCAAACTGGTGTTTCTTACAATATTGTTTTAATGTATTGTCTTATGCACACACTGGTTTGTAGCACCAACAGTTGTACCATTTACTGCACTGTTATTCTTCTCGACTAATGAATTTCAGACATTCACAGAAAACAGCTTGCTTCCACATTAAAAACAAGGAGGACAGGGAGTCCCACAGGATCATTACAACAAGCTTCTGACAGATTTATTACTTTTCTGGCCTCAGGAACCATTGGGTTGTGTCATTTTACAAAGAATACACTGCTAATTACTTGTGCTCTTGTACTAATTTTATGACTTGATGTACAGATATGAGCAGTGCAGGCATGTGACTTATCACACTTTCATATCAAAATAATTCTATTTAAATTAATTTTAAATATTCTATTTAAATCTAAGTAATTTTATAAAGCCTGCCGGATCATTTCTAAAATAAAAAGGGTCATAAAAGCCTGATGTATCGTTTATTGTAAATGACAGAACATAAATCACTTATCAAAAACTTTTTTCTTTTATATTTTGTCTAAAGTTAAAAAAGAACAAAAAAAAAATGCATTAAAAAAAAAAAGATTCTTTGACTCTTATTGAATTATTTCAGGCTTTACAGTGTTAATAGCAAGTTAGTAGTTTTATAAAATAACAAAAGTACTTTATACATTTAGTGTATTCTTCAAAAGTAGGCTACTGTTATATTTAAAGTAAACACATTTTCCAAACAGTGCAAAGGAACACATCTATATGTGTTGTTTGATAAACACCAGTGAGTCCAAGTAATCTGAGGCTATTAGAATGCTTTCTGTTAATTACCAACTCTATCTCTTGTTTTCTCTCTCTCAGTTTCCACACTCACACACACACACACACTCTCACACACACACACACACAC